GAGGAGGAGGAGAGAGAGAGAGAGAGAGACTGGAGGCTCAGGAGGAGAGACCTGAAAATCCCGTCTTATGACAGGCTAGTTGGCTAGTTATAAAGGAAAAGCACATCATTTTGAAGAGAATTGCTATGGAATTTTTATATGTACTAGGGATATATTAGGAAATTCACTGATAAGAAGGATGGGCAGTTTTCCCAGGAGCTCTGCCTGCAATGTGACAAAAAAAGTCTTCAACTCTTGCTCTATTAGACAAATTACACATTTGTGTTTTTAAATAGAGTATTTTATTTAAGGAACACTGAGATGGGGTAAGATAGAGAGCTTAATAATGCATGTAAGTTTTCCCATTTCAGTAAGTTTTCCATGTAAGTTTTTCCCATTCCAGTTTTTCTATGCTACTTGAATAAAAATGTCAGTGTAAAATAGTAGATACAAATGTATACAACAGAGATGCTCTACTTGCCTTCTATAGTGTGGTCACTAGTAAAACCAACAGGTAATATTGTTTGACTCACCAGAATTGAGAATGTGAGAGTAACTTAATGCCAAAGTGATGTCTTTCCTATTCATTTCCTATAGTCTGTGTGCTCGAGGAATATTACAATTTCTTTTAAAAAACCTCCCTCACAAAACTCACCAAGCATCAAACATGAAAATAGGAATAATAAGAGAAAACAGATTATATGTGGCCTTGTTACACTTATGTGGATCTGGAGTAGTTTTATTGTCATAAGTAGAGTTACAGTTGTTGGGGTTCGTGACTGCAACTGAAAAGAAGGATGACCCAGTGGTTAGGACTCTAGTAGAGGAGTTGGGAGACCCAGTTTCAATTTCCTGTTCTGCTAGAGTGACTTAGCTCAAGATATTTTATCTGTAGTTCAGTTCCCCATCTATAAAATCGGTATAATAAAATGTGCCTACCTCACAGGGAATATTGAGAATAATGAGAATATTTGATATGGCAGAATGCCCAGATACCAAGGTGGTGGGGCCTATAAAAATACCTAAGGTAGACTGAGAGAAGAATTTGGCCTGCTGTGAGTTGTCTTTAAGAAAGGTCTGGATTAGATGCTAACACTAAATGACCAGAATGTAATACAATCTGGTTAAGAACCATAAACAGGGAATGCTTATTTTCAAAATGTGAGAATAAAATTAAGAGTGTCTCTTTGTATTGTGAGATGTAGAGCATTATTTACTCCCAAATCCTTGAGGCAGAATGCCAGGGGAGGTATTTGTCATTTATGCATTAGAGCGATTCTCTGTCTTATAAGAACAGCTCTGTACACTCCAGTAAGCAGCTTGCTGGCACAACATGTGAATAACAACAACAGTCTGTTCCTGGAAAGACAATTAATTTATAACGGTGAAAAGGAAACTAGGTCCAGATATTATGGCCAAACTTTGTTTTAATGATTGAAGGGCTTTGGTTACATAGGGGAGTTCTTTCTCATGCCTTAAAGACAGGACACAGATAGAGTCCTGCCCTATAATGGAAACCTGTCTGGAGCAAGCGGAGAATTCTTGTAATTGGACAGAATGGTTACTCATTTCAAGAGTAATCACTAGGTGACTCTTGATTAAAGTGGCCATGCACAGTTTGAACAGTAATTACATTCTTCTAGTAAACAAATTATCTCAGTTAAAGTAGCTTTCCTGCATTCTGATCAGTTTGAGTGACATGGGCTTTCTACATACTCCTGTGAACATGCTAGACAGAGCATTGCCTGCAAAGGAAGATGATAACATTTATCACTCTGGCAAGAGCCGCCATCATGTTAAAGGACCAGGCTCATAAATTACCAACATGTATAAAGCTGACAAACGTACCTTAATCAAAAAGAAAGCAATAATACTACATTAGTCTTTCCTATTAATGTATGTAATTGAGCAAGTCCTTAGATCTTTAAATAGCTTACCATTTAAAGATCAATTATACTTAATCTCATCATTATACTTAATACTCAGTAAACCCCAGAATTCAGTAAAGACCAGAAAAAAATCCTTGAGATTATTAATGGTATTTTATCTTTTGGTAAAGAAAATAAAATGGAGTAATTGAGTTCCCATTGAATCCTCGCAGGGTTAATGTTTGTAAATCAAAAGTCATTTTAGCCTCTAGGATTTTCATCCTCTTTCACCTTATATAGGGTGTCCTCTAAAATAGGGGACACTCAGATGAATTTTCTGCATGATGAAATGACTGACTTTTTCTCAAATATTTTTAGTTGAGGGAGTTCAGAATGTTCTGTTACAACAAAAGCTACATGGACTTTTTGTTACGTATTTTCATGATTAGATGCTAAAACTAACACCATATATTCAGCAGAACCAGGACTTGCTCTTATGGGAGCATAGGGGTTAAAGCTGGCATTGGGGGGACTCTAGAGGCCAGGGCTTTTGGGTGGACCGGTAGCATTTTATTTTCATATTCATTATTTGTGAAATGAATATGCAAATATGCAAATACCACATTACTGGTCCACCAAAAGTTTGTGAATGGGTTTGCCAATCCCCAGTTTAAAAAAGGTCAGGAACCACTGCTCTACATAAAGAATAAAGGCATGTTTCCTACTTTATGAAGTTCATAAGGACAGATGAATGCTCTAGCACTGGTGCATACACTATAGATCCTTTGTCATCTTGATCTTTTTTTTTTATAGAGCCATTTTGAAGCTCATCAAGAAGAAGGGATGGTGATCTTGCACATGGCTGTTGCAGGAGTGGGAATCTGGATTGCCTTCACATCTGGATCGACGCTCCGCCTCTTCCACACTGAGACACTGAAACACCTCCAGGACATTAACATTGCCACTCCTATTCACAATATGTTGTCAGGTAACTGCATTCTACAGTCATATTTTCATTTGGGCTGAGTCACTCCCCAGTTGTTCTGCTATGGTGTATCATAGATGCAGGCTTAAACTTGGAACCCTGAACTATATTAGATATCAAATATGCTGCTTCAGTCTCTTAAATTGCTGTGTAGTCTGTTTGTCAGATCATGAGACTGTCTTTGTGTTAACTCTCATACTATCTATTAAGAATCTAAAATAGAGTCATACACTTCAGTTCCCTGTCTGCTCTCCAGATCAGGTTATGCAATGAGTTCCCTCCAGATCTACCACTCCCATTACAAACCATAGAGAAAATAGTAAATCACATATAGGAGGCCAGTTTGGTGCTGTCATTTTTGTCTTGTTTTGTTGCACAGTTCAAGAATAGATGAACATGTTTTGTTGGGAAGCGCCAGTCCAGCTTTTGTAAAAGGAAATCATGCCTCACCAACCTATTACAGGTTGTGTTTCCCTTAACCAGGACTCTGGTCCAGCAACATCCGTGGTCTGGCTGGACCACAGATATTCCTGGACCACAGAGCCCAGGCATAGGAAGGTCAGGCTGTGGGACACAACTCAGCGAGGAGCCGTGTGAGGGGGGCGGAGGGGCAGGCAGAGAAGCAGCAAGCAGTTCCGGCCCCAGGGGATGGGCAGCAACAAGGGGCCAGCAGCGGCAGCTGCAAACTCCAGCTAGTTCCGGCTCTGATGGTAGCAACAGAGCTCCAGCCTCGGGGGCCATGGCTGTGCAGACAGCAGTGGGGCCGGGCTGCAGCCCTAGCATGGGGGAGGGGGACAGGCAGCAGGGCAGCACCAATCATGTTGGGAAGGGCCTCCCATTGTCCAGCAAATCCCCTTGTTCAGGACTGGTCAGGTCCCAAGGGTGCCAGATGAGGGAGGCCCAACTTGTAGAATTCTTTTAGTGGAACAACGAACATGGACAAGGGTGATCTAGTGATATAGCATATTTGGACTTTTAGAAAGCCTTTGACAATGTGCCTCACCAAAGACTCTTAAGTAAGTATACGGTCACAGGATAAGAGGAAAGGATTAAAAGATAAATAACAAAGGGTAGAAATAAAAGATCAGTTTTCAGAATGGAGAGAAGAAATAGTGTGTCCCTAGGGGTCTGTACTGGGATGAGTGCTGTTCAACATATTCATAAACAATCTGAGAAAGAGTGAGGGTAAGCAGCCAGGTGGCAAAATTTGTAGATGATGAAGAACTACTCAAGATAGTTAAGTTCAAAATAGACTGTGAAGAGTTACAAAGGGATCTCACAAAATGTAGTGACTGGGCAGCAAAATGGCAGATTAAATTCAGTGTTGATTGTGGAAATGTCTCTGAAAGCATCTGTTCAATGTGCAGCAGCAGACAAGAAAAACTAGCAGAATCTTAGGAATCATTAGGAAAGTGATAGACAGTATGACAGAAAATATCATAATGCCTCTGTATAAATCCATGATGTCCTTGTGCTTTGAATAATGCCTACAGTTCTGCTTGCCCCATCTCAAAAAAGATATATTCAAATCCAAGGCACTGGAGGTACTGAGAGCCATTGAAACAAACTATAAATCTTGTATGTGATGGAAACCACTTCAAGACAGAGGATGCTGCTGCATCCCCAGCACTCTTAGATCCAGCAGATTAGAATTGGAAGAGAAGGACAACAAAAATGATGAGGGGTATGGAACAGCTGCCATGTGAGGAGATACTAAAAAGACTGGGACTTTTCAGCTTAGAAAAAAGACAGCTAAGAGAGACAATCATGACAGGTTTAGAGAAAGTGAATAAAGCAGCGTTATTTATTCCTTCTTGTGACAGGGTGCTGCTGCCCCGCACTCTAGGTCCCTCCGTGACTGCGCTGTTCATGGCGCGAGGAGCTAGATACCGGCTCTGCGTGGGCTGTTCCCATGCCACGAGGCAAACCCACATCTTCAAGGCACTGAAGAGCGCAAGCCATGGGGAGGGAAGGAAGGAGGGTTGGAGACAGAGCGGAACCTCACCGGAGGGGAGGTCACACCAAAGGGGCGGGGCTTAGAGATACGACGGGGTGATGTCAAGGGGACAGGGAAGGGCAGCAGGTGGTTTAAAATGGCCAGCGTCGCTGCACAGGGGAAGATGGCAGAGGAGGCGGGAGCGGCAAGGGAGCTGGAGGAAGTCAGGTGAGAGCAGAAGGAGTTCCCACTCGCCAGAAACTATTCCGCCAGTGAAACGGGACAGGTGGGATAATGCTGAAGGAGAGAGAGAGTGGGGGGAGAGAGCACCCAGGGCAGGGCAACGAATTAAACCACATCAGCTGGACAGGACCAGAGAAAGTCCTTGTCCTTAGGGCCCTGGGCTGGGGCCCTGGGCTGGGGCCCGTGAGTGAGGGTAAGCCCGGGCTCCCCTCTCCCCACCACCAAAGGCAGAGTACCCAAGATGGCATAAAACAATTGGCTGCCAGGTGCCTGGCACAGTGTCTGTTATAAATTGTCAGGCAAGAACAGTCCCAAGTTTACTCACATATATACCCGGAACAGAACCAGCCTTCACTTGCCCTTGGAATTGGGGGACTACAAAGGTGAGCGGCTTACAGACGTCTTTGACTTACCCCACAAGGTTTCTGTGCTGAGTTTGACTGCACCTCAGAGTCTGGATTAATTTTATTGTTAGAACTGAATCATAGAATCCTAGGACTGGAAGGGACCTTGAGAGGTCATCGAGTCCAGTCCCCTGCCCCCCATGGCAGAACCAAATACTGTCTGGACCATCCCTGATAGACATTTATCTAACCTACTCTTAAATATCTCCACAGATGGGGATTCCATAACCTCCCTGGGCAATTTATTCCAGTGTTTGACTACCTTGACAGTTAGGAACTTTTTCCTAATGTCCAATCTAAACTTTCCTTTCTGCAGTTTAAGCCCATTGCTTCTTGTTCTCAGAGGCCAAGACAAACAAGTTTTCTCCCTCCTCCTTATGACACCCTTTTAGATACCTGAAAACGGCTATCATGTCCCCCCTCAGTCTTCTCTTTTCTAAACTAAACATATCCAATTCTTTCAGTCTTCCTTCATAGGTCATGTCCTCTAGACCTTTAATCATTCTTCTTTCTCTTCTCTGAACCCTCTCCAATTACTCCACATCTTTCTTGAAATGCGGTGCCCAGAACTGGACACAATCCTCCAACTAAGGCCTAACCAGTGCAGAGTAGAGTGGAAGAATGACTTCTCGTGTCTTGTTTACCACACACCTGTTAATGCCTCCCAGAATCATGTTTGCTTTTTTTGTAACAGCGTCACACTGCTGACACAGATTCAGCTTGTGGTCCACTATAACTCCTAGATCCCTTTCTGCCGTACTCCTTCCTAGACAGTTGCTTCCCATTCTGTATGTGTGAAACTGATTGTTTCTTCCTAAGTGGAGCACTTTACATTTGTCTTTATTAAACTTCATCCTGTTTATCAGACCATTTCTCCAATTTGTCCAGATCATTTTGAATTATGACCCTATCCTCCAGAGCAGTCGCAACCCCAGAGCAGTGGATAGCACAATAAGTGATACATATGTCACCATACGTTTGGTCTTCTCCTATAGCAGGATATAAGTAACATCAATGCTGAAATAGCCCACCTGATAAACAGTCAAATTAGAATAGCTTTGCCCATATTTCAAAGAGTCCATGTAAGAGTGTGTCTATACAGCACCCTAAACTCAAAATAAGATACACAATTTGTGTGTCTTATTTCGAATCTGTTTCGAAATAGCTTATTTTGAAATTTGGCGTGTCTACACAGCATCAAATTTCAAAATAACACACTATTTTGAGCCATCCGTTATCCCTCATGCAACAAGGTTTACCGGGATGGCAAAATAGCATGCCTGTTATTTTGAAAAATATTTCAAAATAACAGGCGGCTTGTGTAGATGCAGGGTAGCTATTTTGGGATACCGTGCAGTGTAGACATACCCTAAAAGTATATGTATGCACATGCACAAGTTTCACACAGGCACCCTAATTTGTGTGTCCGTCACGCTGTATCTGGGTCTTGTCTCTTTCCAAATTTGGGCAATTAATTAGAGATTTTTTCCTAATATGTCTTGGTTATTTTGGCAATTAATCCTATTCTGAAAATAATTATTCATAATAAAAATATTTTTCCCTTTAACAATTCAAGTAACCACTCAGTTTATTTTTTTAAATACACATGTAATTGTTTTGCTACAGAAAATAAAAGACCTTTGAAGACCTTTCTGCTAATGTTCTTTTGTTTATGTAGGTTTCTTTCTGTTACCCTACTGGATTAAGTTAATGTGTTAAACCATGTGCACACATTCACAGCTATACAGCTGTATCAACAGTAAAGTCTGTAGATGATAGCAAAAGAATAGTTGAAAAGCAGAGATTGAATGAGTTAGGAATAAGAAATGTAGCCTCTGTATAGACTATAAACATGCTTCGAACCTGAAGTGTTCTGGGATTTCTGGAAAAAATAAAAAAAGAAGAAGAGGGAAACTGGCTTTGGAATTAGGGCTCGTAATTTATTAGCAAAAAGATAGTTTAGGACTGGGCACTGGTAAATAAAATGGGGAAAATAAAATAATTACTAGAATATATGCCTAAAAATTATTGGAAAATATTTAACAATTTGATAATAGCTTTCCAGTACATGTAATATTTAAATGATATTGAAAATAGAAATATGAATCATTATATGTGTAACTTCCTTGGGAAAATACTGAGCTAAAATGTATAGACATTCTTAATTTCAGTATATTACATACATTAATACGTGCATACTGCTGTTTTACTTTTTTATTTGAACAACCCTAAATTAATATTCCAATCTCCTGCCTTCTGTTACCACAATTTAAATCTGTAACTAAAACAAAGTGTAATGTGGTGTGCACTAATGAAACAATTTTTAAAACAAAATGCCTTGAACTGGAACTGGTTCATTTTTGTCATAGCGGTAAAACCCACAGTTTTATCTGATGAAAATGATCTGCAGTAAGTAGCAT